GGGGGCGGTTGAAAGAAAATGGTAATCCAAAGTGTGGACCAGGACGATGTCTCAAACATCATTGATTTAATTAGAAATGTGCTCAAGCCGGTTAAGTGTATTAGTCCTAACCTTCGACCCAGTTTGCTTTTCTGTTTTTTGTTGTTGTTTTTTTTGCTGAAATGACTTTCTATTCCATCCTCCCTTTCCTTTCTGCCCCCATCTGCCCTCCTGACAGCTGCAGAATGAGTGTTAGCAATGTACTATTATTTGACATCCTTCTTTTTATAAAATTGAATTTCTTTTGATAAATGTCAGAAGGGGACATGCATTCTTCAGTAAAATGAGCTGAGCCTAGAACATATTTGTCACTGCCACCTCTCCAGTCATCTCTTTTGCTTCTGACAAATACAGTGTGTCCTGGGCTTGTCTGTCCTTGGTGACCTTAAAGAAATGGCAAAGCGATCCCATACTTTCTGATTTCAGCACCATGAATTGTCACCGATGGTGAGTTTAAAATGATTAAAATGTTTACATATTCTTCCTTTGTTGCTGTCCTCTTGAGACCAATGTAAAGGAGGATGGCAGAGCGAGGCAGTGTAAAAGGCTTTATGCTTAATAAGAGTATGTTTTTGTTTTTTTGTTGTTTCTAAACTTGCTGTTTCATGCTGTAAAGATGATAATAACGTGGACTTCAAAATCCTTTCAGTATCCCAATGGAGGGATCCACTTATTAAACATCTGATTCTCCAGCATTGATTCTCTCTCTAATGTGAAATTCCCTCTAACTTTAGTCCAGCCTTTCTCTAAAAAAGGTGATACTGTTAGTTATTGCAGTTTCAAAAGTTCTATAAAGTGTAGGCCATAGCACACATCCAAGTTAAGATAGAAGAGGTGAGATTAGAGTCATTACCCTAAGAAACTCAAGGACTATAAAACTCAATATGCTACATGTAACGATGCAAGGTATAATCCTATTTTCGGGTAGTTAGTCTTAGAACTAAGATAAAGTTCTTACCCAGATCTGCCTGCAAGTCTGTTCTTACTGCAGCTTACCTTCTTAAGAACTTTGAGCTGATGGTGTTTGGGTTGCTGGCTCCATGAGAATGATTTCAATCAGACTGTACAGAATAGACAGTGGATTCTTCAAAATAGTATGCCTTTAACAAAATGTCCACTGATCTCTGTGCATGGGATTTGTGGAAAGCTAAATAGACAAGATGTTTGCGCTCATGGGACTTACTTCCCAGTATACAAATAAATCAATTAGCAGATTATGATATTGCTATGAGGGAAATAAACAGGAAGATGTAAAATGAAATAGCAAGCAAGGTCTGTTTTGGATAGGAGTAGGGAATGCCTAAGGGGTTTATTCTATTTGATCATTCAGTAACATATTTGTCACACGTTGTTTATAGTTATCCACCTAGTTAGCCCCTGACTCAGGGTAACCCCATGCACAGCAGGACAAAACATGCATGGGCCTGGGCCATCCCCACAATAAATGGGGGATTGGACAATTGTGATTCCTAGCATTTTCATTGGTTGTTTTTTCGGACACTGATTATATACTGAACACTATATGTCAAATACTATTCTATTCGGCATTCTTTAAATGTATTAATTTGTCTAAGTCCCCACAGCAATGGTATAAGGGGGACTTATTATAAAGAGGAAACAAACGCACAGAGAGGTTTGGTATTTTGCCCCAGGTCATAAAGCTAATAAGTAGTACAATCAGATTTGATCTCTGGTAGTCTGGCTTGAGAATGTGTGCCCTGAGCCACTTTTGTTATTGCTCATTCAGAAAATGGTCATTACATAAATTGCTTGAATGCTGAATATTGTGCTATGTATTGAATACAGCATTATGGATTGAATACTGTCCCCCTAAAAAATATGTTGAAGTTCTAACCTGTGAACGTGACCTTGTTTGGAAATGGATTTGGTTTGCATGTTAATGAAGCCATACCAGAGTAGCTTGGCAAAACGACTCCTAATTAGGTTGGTAAACCTAACCCTAATTCCTCTGGGGTGTCTTATAAATAGGTAAAAGTGAGACACATACGCTGGAGGAAGAGACCATGTGAGCATTTGTCTGCAAGCTAAGGATTGCCAGGGGCTGCCAGACCTTGAAAGGAACTCTCCTGAGAGCCGATGGCTTAATTTGCATTTCTAGACCAAGAGCACAGGCCCTGATGGAGATGCCCTGGGTTCAATGCCCTGGTTTCAGACTCATTGACTACCAAATGGAAAGACGATACATTCCTGTTCATAAAAGTCATGGGCTGGAGAAAAAATTAGCGTTGTCAATGATTTCATTCTACAAGGATCAGCAATCAATGGCCAGCAATCAAGAAATCCAACAACACATCGCATTGGACTGATGTGCTGCAAAACACTTCCTTAAAATTTTAAGAAGGAAATGACTAATGAAAGTGTGTCTGCACTGGATGACTGGATGATTGTGATAAGAGATGTAAGAGCCCCCAATAAAAGTATTTAATTGAAAGAAAGAAAGAAAGTGTGTCTGATTCAAGCTTCAATCGTCTGAATTCTATCATATGGATTGGCAGTTGAATAATGGCATGTTACAAATGTAAAGAAGAATAGATGCAGCCTCACACCTTCGTGACACGATTGCTTAAGACAAATGTGTGCATAAGAAAATCTGGTGAAGAAACTGATGGTGCTCAGCTATCAAAAGATATAGCGTTTGGGGTCTTAAAGGCTTGCAGGTAAACAAGCAGCCATTTAGCTCAGAAGCAACAAAGCCCACATGGAAGAAGCACACCAGCCTGTGTGACCATGAGGTGTAGAAGGGATCAGGTATCAGACATCAAAGAACAAAAAAATCATCTC